CAGGATTAGCTGGAGCACAGCTAGCTTGGAAGCTTCTCTGCATGCTGCTGTTAAGCCTCTCAGGCAGCTATGGATGTTGTGATGCTGCAAAAGTATGACACATGCATTTGAACCATTGTGTGGCCCTGGATTAGACAGAGCTAATCTTTCTTTTTACTTAGAAGTTAATTTCTTTTTCTCTTCCTGCTTTCAAGTTAGATCTATGACTTGATTTCATATTCCCAAAGAATGAACGTGGCACCCAGCAGGAAGGGTGTAGGCAACAGGACAAGGGAACAGTGTTTCTGTGCTCTCTCGGAGTGCCAGTGAATTTGTGACTAACAGTAAATTTGTTACATTCTTTCTTACCCCCTAGCCAGGTGAAATTTGAGGCAGTGAGGGAGAGGAGCAGTTTAAAAGAGGGGAGGAACAGGAAAATAAAGAAAAGGAATATTAAGTTTGAGAAAACCAAAAGAAAATGAAAAGGGGACAGAGATGAGAAAGGAGGTGAGAGAATGGAAAGCAGTAAGTGAGGAAGGGGATGGTGGAACAGACTCATAAAAGCTGGAGCAAAGCAAGGCCAGGGAGGCCACTGCTGTCAGAACCAAAGGTGGAAGTAAATGCTTGAGGTTTTTAGCAGAATGTGTGAATTGATGATGAGCCTTTGTAGCTCCAGGTAGCTCATTGCACATAAAGATTGTGCTAGTGCAGGAGAGGGGTACTGTAAGAGAAAGTCAGAGGGCCAGTGGTAGAAATAGCTACTCTTAGGTGCTGAGAGGGCTTGTTTCTGCAAGTCACAGCTGGATGGGATCTCTTACAGGTTACTCAAAGAGGAGGAGAAAGAGGGCCTGCTGGTGAGGTGAGAGAAGCATGACACACGTGGAGTAGTGTCCTCAGTGTCTCTCTCTGGTGTTCTCTCAATACAACATGTTTGAGCCCATCATCCTTGCATGCCTACCCTTTTTCCTTAGTTGTCCCTTGTCAGCAATTGTCTGTTATTCCTGTGTTTCATCTTTCTCTGGCTGTGATGGTTACTGATGACTCACTGGCTGGCCCTAAAAGGAGAATAAGAATCCTCTTAATGCTCACCCCACCTGAGACACTGTCTAAGAAACCAAGTGCTCTAGCTTGGGCCCAGCGGCTGTCTCCACTTGCCATCTACAATAGCAGCACCCAGAGCAGCTGGAAGTCTGAGCAGGTGAGCTCCTGGATCTAATCTCTTTGCTCTAGTCTTTTTGCTCCCAGGTAGAGCCTGAACAGCCTGTGCAGCATTGTGCTGGATTTAGGAGATCTGAATAACCTAGTTACCCTAGCAACAGGAAAGAGTTTCCTCTAACCACAGGGATACAAGTCTACCTCTGTTATTAGTGTTAAGACTTGCATGGTGTATCTGGCTATACTTTACTTCTGTTGGAAAAAATGGTAGAATAAAAGCAAGAAGGTCCTTCTACCTTGGAGATAATTAAAATCTCCATAGGTGGATTTCAGTGCTATGTGCAGCAATAATAGAAAGAAGAGGGATTATAATTACTTCTAAGCTTTTTAATTTGTGAAGGATCCCTGGAGGATACAGAAATAAAGTTTTAAATTCTGTGTGGAGCTTTCTATGCACAGATCTCATGGCAGTCTGTGACACTGATAGATTCATTCCTTGTTGAGATGTGGTTATTTTGTTTTTATGGATAGGGAGACAAAGTGATTCAAAGGTAGGCTGAATCTTATTGCAAAGCTATGAATAAATCTCCTCTTCTGAGCCCAATTCCTCCACCTGCCCTTTCCTTCAGTTTCAGATAAAGGTTTCCCTGTGCAGTAGGAGACAGAACATGTTATGGAAGATAAAAGCGTGAAGCCTGCTTTTTAGCAGGAGAAAGTGAGGAAAGTGAAAATACTGTGATTTCACTGCAAGCCTTTCTGCGAATATATTTTAGTCTGCATTCACTCCCCCATTAACAGAAGTGGAGCAAACTATAAATTTTGAAAGTGAGCATTGGGAGTGAAAGAAATATTCCTGCCTTAATTTCTGCACAGCAACATGGTCTTGTTACTACATGGGTGCAGGAGAAACTGGTTTGGATAAGAGTAGTTTGAAGAAACTTCTGAAGGAAAAAGAACTCTTGTTTGATCAAAGGCATGAAGCCTACATAAGCGCCCAGTACTGATGTTCCTCCTTGGATAATGCGAGTGTTAAATTGTCAGTAGTATCTTGCAGGCTTCTTGGGTTAGAAAGTTGCATAAGGGACAGCTGAATGGAAAACAGATATCTGCACTCCTCCTAAAGTTATATGGTGTTAGGGGTTTTTTTGGTCTTCTTTGGTGGTGGGTTTTTTTTTTTTTATATGCCACAAATAGTGCAGAGATGCAAGGAGACACCCATCCTCATTGCTATTTATAATTCTGGTTTCTGGAGTCAAAACAATCCCTTAAACTTCCAGCCAAACAGAATACTATCCGTCTTGTGTGTGAGGAGGTATTTTTACTTTTTCTTTTCAGTGTTTCCTTGCCTGTTCGGGTAGTGCAAGGTGGGGTCCATGCTGCCTTCTCTTCCGCATTCTTTTAGCCAAAGAGCTTTTGAAAATTCCAGCATGAGATTTGTTTGGCTTGCAGGTGTTGTAGACATTTAGGATATCTAAAAATCTCTTTTGTTCGTGACTGAGCATCCTTATTTCAGCAACTCCCTTTCAAGCCTTCGTTTACCAAATCAACTTAATAGGGTGTCTTATAAATGGTTGGAGAGCTCTGGAAACCTCTAACATCTAGACAAAAGTCCCTTCCAGAGAACATGTACCAACTTTTTTTTTCTTTCTTTCTTTCTTTTTTTTTTTTTCCATTCCTGTGGTCTTGCACAATCTAATGAGTCTTTTGAGGAACTCAGAGAGCTTGAGCAAGAGGTAATACCACAAGCTGGTGGGTGACATAAAACTCACTGAACTTGTTAAAATAATATTGCCATGGTCCTCCAGCAGCCTAAAGGCCTCATATACAGCTGTTATTTAGCTGGGTGATATTTGGTACGAACCAAGACAGAGGCTCACTTCTACAGTGAGTTTATTGTTGGATTTTCAGTATATTGTTTGCATAAATTCCCCAGACCAGCTCTCCCTCCTGAATAAGCCACATGGATCAAGTTTTATTCTGTTCCACACAAAGTTCACATCCTTTACTGGAATGAGTCATGCTTTAACTGAGTTTACATGCTTTAACTGAGGGAGGAAAGTGGGCTTTAAAATGTTACTCCTCCACCCTGCCTTAGTGATGTATAACAGGATTATTAGTATGCTTGGCAGCTGCTGCTTATTATTTTCGCAGAACCTGGATATTTGTGAAGACAAGTAAAAATTGGTTCTACTTGTGTTCAAGTATGAATTTAATGCATAATTTTAAACTTATAAGACAAAAATGCTGTTCTTTTTTTGTGGCTTTGTCTTCCATAAGGCTTGCCTGCTACTGTAAAAGTGGATCTAGCTTATCTCCCTGTGGTTATTTTTCAGTTTTGGGAGAAGAGTGGCATTTTGTGACTTGTAACTGAAAGAGGAGGAGGAACTCTACCATTTTGTGTTCAGTGGCCCATGCATGTCTATTACTGTTACACACAGGACAGTTCTGGGCATTGACAGGTGAAAGTGCTTCACAGGCCCATGTAACTCATATGTAAGGTTGTCTCCAGCTTCTCTCAGGCAAGATGTGTGTGATGCGTTGCCACTGTGCAGAAAGCAAATTTTGGTCCTCTGTGTACATTTCTTTGTGCAGAGAGGTAAAAGACCTTTTAACCTATGGTAGAGGGAGCTGCTCAGTGTGTGTCCTTAATTGTCGTGGTTTAACCCCAGCCGGCCACTGAGCACCACGCAGCCGCTCGCTCGCTCCCCCCGGGTGGGATGGGGGAGAGAATCAGAAGAGTAAAAGTGAGAAAACTCGTGGGTTGAGATAAAGACAGTTTAATAGGGAAAGCAAAAGCCGCGCACGCAAGCAAGACAAAACAAGGAATTCATTCACCACTTCCCATGGGCAGGCAGGTGTTCAGCCATCCCCAGGAAAGCAGGGCTCCATCACGCGTAACGGTTACTTGGGAAGACAAACGCCATCACTCCGACCGTCCCCCCCTCCTTCTTCTTCGCCCAGCCTTATATGCTGAGCATGACGTCATATGGTATGGAATAGCCCATTGGCCAGCTGGGCCAGCCGTCCCGGCCACACTCCCGCGCACCTGGCAGAGCACGGGAAGATGAAAAGTCCTTGACTAGCGTAAACATTACTTAGCAACAACTAAAACATCAATGTGTTATCAACACTATTCTCATACTACATCCAAAACACAGCACTATACCAGTTAATAGGAAGAAAATCAACTCCATCCCAGACAAAACCAGGACATTAATACAGATTTTTGCAGAAACAGTCTCTGTACGCAGCTACAAAGATACCAGAACCGATTTTACTACTCGTCTTTCCTGCAGAAGTTCATTGATTCTCATGCAATAATGGTTAATTTGACTCTTCATACCACCATCCTTTTTTGTTTGTTTTTTGATTGGGTTTTTTTTTTTTGGGGGAAAAAAACGAGGGTAGGAGGGAGCAGGGTGGTGGTTTGTTCCTTTGTTTAGTCTCAAAATTGAGGAGGAGGGGCAGCCAGCAGAAGAGGGCCTCTTAGGATTTTATTTTTGGCAGTAGGCCGGTTCACTTGACATGTAAGACCTTTCTTTCCTAGTCCTCTTGTTCCTGAAAGGTCTGGAAAGAGTTATGTTTCTCCCCTGAGCTATGTATTATCTATGATTGCTAAACTGGCAGGGGCATCACCTGTTCTTGTTCTACAGGAAAAACAGGGTCTGTTACCCTAACCCACTACATTCCTAAACCCAGACTGCGTAACTTTTATGGAGCCTGCAAAAGAATTTATTTTTATGATAATGCTTTTGAAGGAAAACTTGAGGGAAGGAGCTGTAATTAAATGAACACCAATGTTAGATATTAGAAAGGGTTTTACCTTTTAGGACTTAGAATGAGTGAAGTGAACGTTTGGTGACAACATGAGTTTAATTAAATTTACGCCTCCATTTGATCTATATTTAACTGTCACTGACTCTGGGTTTACTGGTAAGTAATCATAATAGCTGGGAGGCAGGCAGTGCCTTGGTTGACCAGCCTGTCTCCTGTCCAGCTTGACTCTGACCAGACAGATTTTTCTCCTATGTTTTACAGATGCTTCATTCAGTGGCACGCCGCCTAGCTATGCATATGATGCAGACCGTGCTGAAGAACAGAGGCGACATCATGATATGATGCCCTATATTGATGACTCACCATCATCCTCACCCCATCTCAGTTCCAAGAGTCGGGGCAGCCGAGACACCCTATCTTCAGGGTCTCTGGAATCTACAAAATCAGTGAGTCCTTTCCTGCCTTTTTGGAGTCAGCGAAGCCTTGTAGGTTTGCAAGGGGTAGGCTGCTTTAACAGGGAGCGAAGACAGGGACTACCAGCATCGTAGGACAGATTACCTGACATAATATAGCAGTGTCTGATTGATACTGTATATTTAAAGCTAAATTGAGGCTTCTAGCTGATGCTAAGCCTAAACTTCAGGGATGAGTGTTGTGTGTATGATTTTTAAGCCTCAGTTTTTCACCCTTTGTGAATTCTAGTGAAGAGAATTGGTGATTAATTGCTGTTGAGAGGGTCTTGAAATACCGGATATTTTGGAAAGGAGACTCTGGAACAAAACATCCTACATTATGATGTTCACACATCTGTGGGTTGTCATTGCCTTTCACAAGGAAAATAAGAGTTATTTTCAGGTAGGTTAAAGGCTTTGATAAAGCATCTAGAATATAAGATGTTTCCTTCACCCTGTGAAAATGGAATAAGAGGAATTAAAACTGCCAGCTCTGAAGTATGGTGACTTTGGGTGGGAGATGGCCACCTCTTATAATGAATTTGACTATTCACAAAATAGCTATCTATATAATCAATTATGGTAGATAAAAAGTTCAGAAGGGACCACCTAGCCTGGTTTGATGTGGACCTTCACGCTATCTTGCTTTATTTTTGCTTCAGGTTCAGTAGCATAGCTGTAGCTTGGAACTTAAGGAAAATTTCTATTTTTGTTTCTACAGTAGTCTTAGTAGAGAGTCTGCTGCTTGCCTTGGTAAATAACTATTGACTCTGCTGTCTTCACAGCCAAAAATATCTTAGTTTCAGCTTGAATTAATCTGTTTGACTTTCAACCTTTGTTTCTCTTTATCCTTTTGCTTCCTAGATTGTAGAGCACTTCAATCCCAAGCTGCTGTTTCCCTGAATATCTTTGTCATCTGCAAACTTTTGGTTCCCCCAAGTCATTCATAAAAATGCTTAATAGCACAAAGACAACTGTCACTTCCTTCCTACTGTATTTCTAAGAAAGTGCAGCCAAACAACCTTGAATTCCCACATTGTAAATGACACTTTGAAATCTGTCATTTAAGTGGTTTAACTTATGTGTTGGCTTTACATTGTTCTGTCCTATTAATTAAGATGTCATGGGAGAAGAAGATGGATATTTTACAGATATCAATGTACATGTAAATCAACACTATCACCTTTATCAGACAGTTTTATTTATCTTGCATCAAAACGATTTCAAGAGTCAGACAAGTGCCACAAACCATTGCTACTTAGCATTCATTATATACATCCTTCTATTACTCTTTATTGGTTAGTGCCATGTCATATGCTTCGTTACTTTTTCTAGGATGAATGTTACATTAAGAAGCCTACTTGAGACAGTGTTCTTGTTCTTCTTTTTCATTTATAAAAATGCATTGTCAAGATCTCTTAAAGCATTATTAAGTACATGTATTGTTGATGTTTGCTTAATTTTATTTGACTATAAAGTATGGAATCTAGTTATCTGCTGTCCTGGTTTCGGCTGGGATAGAGTTAACTTTCCTTCTAGTAGCTGGGGGGTGCTGTGTTTTGGGTTTGGTATGAGAAGAACTTCATGGCCCATTGATGTTTTGGTTGTTGCTGAGGGGTGCTTGCACCGGGGACTTTTTGGCTTCCCATGCTCTGCCAGGTGCACGGGAAGCTGAGGGAGGAGCATAGCCGGGGTGGTTGACTCAGCTGGCCAATGGGATATTCCATACCATATGACATCATGCTCAGTATATAAACTGGGAGGAGTGGTCCAGGAAGGGGGGCCCTTGTGGCTCGGGATGGGCTGGGCGTCGGTCGGCGGGTGGTGAGCAGTTGCATTGTGCATCGCCTGCTTTGTATATTCTGTTATTGCTGTTGTTATTATTATTATTACTGTTCTACTTCATTTTATTTCAATTATTAAACTGGTTTTATCTCAACCCACGAGTTTTCCTACCTGTGCCCTCCCAATTCTCTCCCCCATCCTACCGGAGAGCGGGGGTAAGCGAGTGGCTGCGTGGAGTTTAGTTGCTGGCTGGGGTTGAACCATGACAGCTGCTTATGCTTCAGTCTATTAATTCTGAGATGCTTTTTTGTCTCTCAGGATGAGAATTCTTGTGATATGTAAGAGGCTTTTGAATGAAGAAATGATCATTAGTAAATTCAAAAGCTCCAAGAACGTTTTAATATTGGCTTAAGATTTCCAGGTTATGTTTCTCAGGATGAAGGAAAAATGCTGTGTGACTACACATGGCTGACAGTTATCTTCAGAGAACCAGTTATCATAGTGCCTGTGACTGGAGGCCTGGAAGAGACACTGCCTAATATTTAGTCTTGTTCTTTACTTATTTGAATATTGCCTCATAAGCATTTAACAGTAGTTAATTTCAAAGTTACCTTAATAATGCTAGAAGGCTGCCTTTTTAAAAATAACTTTTAACATAAGTGGCTGCTTTCTTCTCTCTGACTGTAAAAAAGATGGTTTATGGCTTCCAAAAGAAAGAGGTGTCTTGATACAGATAAGACTTTTAATTGTGAACCTCAACCGCTTCAGTTGATCCTGTCTGTAATTAGTCCACAAATGACAATGCAACTCATGAAGGACAGTCCATGACAAGGAGGAAGAGACTAATTTATATATGGTTGCAGTATTTCCCAAACAAGTTAAACTTTCTGTCATCACGAGTTAGGTGGCTTTTACTGTAGTTATGTTTTCAGCCGTAGTGGAAGAGACATCAGTAACAAAATTAAGTGTCAAACACACTGCTGAGCCAAGCGCATAAAATGTGTTGGACCAGAAATACCAGGACATACGTCTTTTCTATTTTCTTTTTCACTACACTTGATTAGCAGAAAACATTTTTTGTTTACATGTGTTTGCTTTTATAGTTGTCTCCTTGCCCTTTTACTTCTTTCTTAGGTGCCTGCAATTACTTCTGAAAATTTTAGGTTATCTTTATGACCAGAGTCTAGAAATCAACAGCTAACTGTATGTAACAACACAACACATGCACTATATACACCACTTTGACAAAATATTAAGATTGTGAAGTCATTGAAAAGCTAAGAAATTATTATGGTTATCCAGCCTTCCTTGTGCCTATAGCCTTGTCTTGAATATTTATGATAAGTTTCAATTATGCAATCATATCCTATTTTTTCTATGGGGCTGCTGCATTGTTCAGAGTATATAGTGAATGATACTCACTGGATTTAATATTTTATCTCTAGAGCTATGTGTAACAGTTGAACTGTTGTGATTGAACTTTTCAAAAATTCTGGAAACCTGTCTTGGAAAATGTCAGCCCAAATATTTGCCAAATAAGACAGTGCTGGTAACTTCAGAAGGTGTCAGACAGTATTTGTAATAGGTAGTGGTAATTCACTCCCAGAAAGAGAGAGAATGTGTCTGTCTTCCCCATACAGCTAAGGTGAAAAGTGGAGAAGATACCCGGATAGAGTTAGAGGACAGAGGGAGAGCTTATTCTTGGGGCACAGGAAAGTGTTGGGACTGGAAAGTTAGTGACTGACACCCTTCACTAGAGAAGAGTTATTGCCAAGAGTTTTGGAGTGGGTAGCTTGCAGCTTGGAGGCTAAAGAGACTGAGAGGGGACGGGAAGCTTCAGTCATCATGATCCTATTGCTGCTAGTCACGTGGGGAGAGATTACAGTGATGGGAGGAGTAGAAATAAGAAAGGCCTTTCAAGATCTGCTTGCCAACAAAGCCAGGCTCAAAGATGTGTGCGGAGCTGAGGGTGTGGGGCTCTGGAGGTGGGCGCAGGGCTGCCAGTGGAAAGGCAAAGCTGGTTCCACCCCCCGAGGAAAGGAGGGGAGTCACTTTTCTAGAGTTTAGAAGATGAGTTTTTTGCCAAAACAGATCTCTCCAATTCTTACATATCACGGCCCAGGGAGGCATGAGTGCTAAAGCTGAGTGACTAACTCCTTCTTTCTGTTCTGTTTGGAGGGGAAATTGGCTGGTACTTAGTGGTTTCCAGGTAGCATTTCTCTTCCCTTTTCTGCTGTGCGGTCCATGGTTGGCACAGCATTGGCAGCTGTTGCCAGTCCTCAGATGAGATTCTTTTGTTCTCACTATCTGCCAGCTATGCGGAAAGCAGGGCTGTGGCAGAGCAGGTTGTGGACTTTTCTCCTAGCTTGGTCCCAAGGAGGTCCAGAAAAGTTGACCTCTGAAGCTCCATCAATAAATGGGATTACTGCTCTGCTTCTTACTACTGTTGCTAGCTTGTCCCTCCCTCTCCAACATTTCCAAATCCTTCTCCTTTCTTCCTCTTAGTATTTTGGTTGGTTTGTTTGTTTTGTTTTACTGTCACTTTCCCCTCACCACCCCCAACAGAAGCAACTTTTCCTTTTTATTCTCCAACTCTTTGCTCCTTAAGGGCTCTGCCTGGACATACAGCCCTTCCTGAGGAGAGCTAGCACACCAGTACTGATGTTATAAATAATGTTGGCTCCTCTCCCTGCTCCTTCCCCTCCCTGCACGGAGCATGATTGGCTTGATTACAGAATTTGCCATATTTAATGTCACCAAAACAATGAGACACCTCCAGCCTGTTTAGCAGAAGCTTTCAAAGACATTTACACTTTAAAAATTGAAATGAATAGTTTTTCTCTTTTGTAGTCTGTTAGCTTCTCTATGAGATTCAGGGCTATCCTTACAGGAAACCTCTCCTTTGAACACATTCATTGCACAGCATGTGAACACACTGTACCAAAGGAAGGTCTGAGAGTTAAAGTGCCTTTTATACACCCACTTTGAATCATTGATTCTCTTTACAGAGCTGTGCTGGCAGCAACCACTTTGCAAAGTCTTACGTGTTGTGGTTTCTAGATTCTTAATCTGCATTCTTCTAACATTTGCAAGAAAACAATTACTGCTATTAATTTAAACAAGAACCAGAAAGCCCCGAGTTCTTTAAACAGAGTCAGGAAGAGCTGAATCTGTCTAATGCTTGGAGCTGGTGAATATCAGTCTTGCAGTAATTGAATACAACATGCAATGCCAACCTGGTTAGTAAACTAAAGTACTTAGGCTGACAAGCTGTAAACACATTCAAAACAGCCATGGCTCAGGGCCAGTGTATGCATGCTCTCTAATATCTTCAGTGCTTCTAACCACTCTGACTGGCCTTGGTTCAGGTCGCAAGATTGCATTTATGACTGTGACTCAATCTTTTGGTTTTTAAGTCTTTGGAAGAGCTAGAAGCACCCCCCAGTTGAGAAGAAAACACCAGAACCTTAGAGGCATGAGATACCTGTTCAACATCCTTTATACTGCTTTCTACCTTCCTTTTTGTTTTCTTTTCTTTTTTTAAACGTAGTTCATGAGGAGTGAGAGCGGAGCACTGATTTCTTGCTTGCTTGTTCAGAACTGGCTGGGTGTTGAGTCCTCACAGCTCCCATGGCAGACAGACAGGAATGCTCTGCTGCCCCATGATAGTCTTGTAAGATAGATTCATTCTGAAACGTGTGGGTAGAGAGGTAGCCAAAAGGTGGAAGGGCAATAGAGAAAGGCTAGAAATGGATGCTGGCATCAAGAAGGTAGGGACAGAGTCAGAACATGAAATACTAGTCAGACTTGTACAATTAAAAAAATGGGCTAACCAAGCTGGGTAGGAAGCATGGGATGGACTGCTGACCACCTGGCACTCCCTGCTGAGTGGTTAGAGTTTGCCAATACAGGCTGTTCCCACATCCTGCTGGGAACATCCCATCTGCACTTTGGTTAATAGGTGTATTTTCCCCTAGCTAATGTGGCCTGGTAGATGTGGTATCAGCTCCTCCCCTTGCCACAAGCAGCTTAAAGATTTCTGACTGCTTCCTTCTTGCCAGGGTTGGGGAAAGGAGTCCTCAGCCTTGGCAGAACTCCCTGAACTGGTGGGGAGGTTGATACCTACGCCCAGGATGTTCCCTCTCTTAACTCCCCTTCTGCCTGGAGTGCAGAAACAGAGCAGTCAGTGAGGCTGTTGTGATCACAGCGTTGCTCTTTGTTTCGCTTTTTTGTCAGATATGGGCAAAGCAGAAAATGCCCTTGGCACTGGGTGCATCACATCTTGGCGTGCTCCAAAGGGAGAGTGGAAGGACAGTCTTGCAGTATCTCTGCCTGCTAATTGCTCTGTCTTGTTTTGGGTGAGCAGGTGAGCCTGTTTCCAATTCTGTAAGTGAGGAATGTTGTAATACCAAATAATAACCTTGCTCCTCTTCTTCCTGATGTTGGCACCAGCTCCCAACTCTCTCCTGGAGTAAGTTGCATAACAAGTGTGACTTAAAAAGCACCCTGCGGCTGAAGAAGCACAGGGGCTGTTTTCCAGACATTCATCTAGCAGCAAGAGCTGCTGCTCAGCACAGCCCCAGATGACATTGTCAAAAAAGGCCTCCCTCAGCGGGAAACTCATGTCAGGACACTGGCTCTCAGGAGGAAATACACAGTGGCAGCACAATGCAGACAGCAGCGCCATGGTGTCGTATTGATCCCTGACACAGCAGGAACAGCAGGAGGTCATCTTTTCACATATGAGGAATCTGTATGTAAATTTGAGGTAGTGCATTGGAAACCTTGTAATGTGCTATGTGATTGTTGGATAAACTCCCCTAAGGGTTTCTTCAGCAACTGCTGTACTGTAGCTTAAAGCAGCCAGGCCCTGCCCTGTCTGGCTGCATCTGAGGCTAGAGTTTTGCAAGCATCACGCTTGGAAAATGCTCCTATTAAAAAGGGTTAGGACAATACCGTAGACTTTGCAAAGTGACTTTGAGGTGATGACCAGGAAGGAAGGCCTCTAGTGTGTCCTGGGAGGTATTTGTCTCTCTGAAAACACATCTCTTTCAAAGAGAGTAAATTGACATTCAGGCAGAAAATGCTGTCTCTGTCAGCTGACAGTGCCCAGCAAGAACTGGCTTGTAAATTAAAGCTTTTATTTGTGAAGAGGAAAACTGTTCTTAGTGCTATAAGGAAAACTGTTATGCCACTGTCATGATGGGGAAGTTTGAATAATTTAAATAATTTGTCATTGTGTGCTGCTGTTTACAGATGTTACAAACATACCCAGCGAGTTTTTAAATCCTCGCCTCCTCCAAGAAAACCTGCTAAAGATAATTATAGTGTTGTGTCAATATTGACCAGTTACCTCATCCTCAGCAGTGGGGACTTTGGAGCACTGTTAGTTTTTCTCAATGCTTCTTTGTGAAGCTGCGTTTTTCTTTTGTAAGTGTTGTAAGAAATCTTTGGAAACCAAGAGGTATTGTGTTTTTCTTGCACCAGGGCTGCTGGGAGCTTCACGCAGACAGCTATGTCCCTGCCTCTTTGGATGAACGCAATCTTTGTTGAACATCTTGGGGCTGTCTGTCTTGGTTACGTGTACGTACCATGCCTTACAAAATGGCCCATGAGGTGGACATCCAGGCACTACTGGTGCAAAAATCATAAGGAATGGTTATAATGTTGTTGCACATTTCTGATTGAGCTGTAACAGGCAGTCACACGGGTGCTTTGTAGAGCACAGAATCCGTTGCAGCATTCATTTTACCGTGTAGTTTGTCTGGTGTTTTTCTGAAATCTTCTGAACACGACTGCTGAATTACAAATTCCTAGCTTCTTTGAGATGCCCTTTCAAGATTTTAAAAGGCACTGTGGTTCTTACTGAAACTCACTGAAGGGTGGGATGCAAAGACGAGTTCTTCTTTCCATGTGGTACCTGATGTGCATGTAAATTTTACTCATTTCCTTAGAACAGCTTCTGTCTGCTACTTTTACTTAAGAGGTGATGGTGGTATTTGACACCTCACAAAATTTTTATAAAGTGTTTGCTGCAAGGTCTTTTAGCCTAGAAAATAGCTTGTGAAATTTAATGAAAGCGTTCAGAAATCAGGATGGTTATTGATGAGACTGAATCCAGAAATATCTGGGAGCGTGAGGATCCGTTTCTTTCTTCATGTGGTGCGTAGGCTCAAAGTGACACTCAGAATGTGATAGTTACTGTAAGCTTACCTGTAGCCAAGATACCTTCTCTCCATAATGAACCTCATATAACCACCTGCAGGGTTCAAAGCATAGGACCCTAAACTAAACGGAGCTTTTTTTGTCAGCTATAGAAGGGCTTTATGTTCAGCCAATCCTCCTGCTGCTGAAATCAATAGCTGAAGATCCCTCTGGTTATTAACAGGAGTAGGATGGAGCCCCAAAAAACCTACCCAAAGCCCTTGAAGAGTATCTACCCTTTCAGATTCAACTACTGACTCGATTCTCAGAGATATTTAACAACATAAAAACATGGCAAGAATTGTAAAAAGCCATTTCTGTGAATGACAGAAATAAAAAGAACTGGAAATAAGATTCTTTAAAAGGGGGTGTTTTTCATTATTTATAACCTTCATTGTTTGGCTACGTTTTCTTCAGTGTTTATGGAAATACTCAATTTCACTTTATCAGGTTAAACGTTTTTCAGGTAACAGTTTTGAGAGGAAGGATAGTTGAAATTCGACAGAGGGGATTCCTGCTTCTCCTAACACTTGATGTTAGTCTTCCCTTGATGTGTGCATTTGCCCCTGAATGTTTTTATTTTTTTTCTCTCTTTCTTCAGTTGTTTTGGTTAAGAACTCCTTCGTGGAATCCCAATAAGAAAATCAACATGTGCATTCCAAGCAGTGCTGATTATTCCGTCCTCTAACTAAAAAAAGACATTGTGCAAACTGGCACTGAAAAATAATTTAGTGAATAGTAGAGAGTGGGAGAAAGAACAGCCATCTTAACAGCAATGTCAGGCTGTAACTGCTGTATATTCATGTGCATCTGTGTAGATGCAGGGGAAGCAATCCTGTCTGCATAGAGAAACATGGCTTTGGAGTAAGATCATAGAGAACTCTCGTGGGAGGAGGGAGTGAATTGCACATAACCAAGGGTCCCTAAGATTTGTTTAGTAGGATAAATTCTGAATTTTTAAGTTTTGTGTTTTGAATTTTGTGAAGTCGTCTGCATACCTAATTGAGGCACCAAAGTTGGATGACTAAAGCTAACACCTGTAAATAATCTAAGTGACATCAGTTGCTGGTAAATAAAAATTTCTTTAATGTTTTATGTTTGCGTGTTTCTAGAAACAGGACAATGAGCACAGGTGGGTTTTTTGTTTGGTTGATTTTTTTTAGTCTGAAAGTAAACAAAAAAACCAAGTATGCTGTGGTCAGCAAAATGATACCTTTTACTCCATCCTCATTCTTGTTTTTTTCTTTCTCCCCCGTCCCTTTTTATTTCTTCTTTATTTTTTTCTTTTTTGTTTTTTCTCCTTAACAACTTCTTTGTAGAGTGAGCCAGACCTGGAGAAAGGCCTGGAGATGAGAAAATGGGTCCTGTCAGGAATCCTAGCCAGTGAGGAAACCTACCTGAGCCACTTGGAGGCTCTGCTGCTGGTAAGCACTGGTGGCAGATACCATTTCAAATACCGGTACTTGAATTTTCACTGCTGCTTCCATCCAGAGTTTCCCAGAACTTCACATATCATGGTTACAAGTTGCCAGGTGCAAAGGGTACCTGGCTTAAAGAAAGGACTGGATATGGCACAACCGGGGAGTTATTAGTGTGGTAGTATCCAGGAGCCCTGTCTTTCAGTGCTGTGCTATTTATTAGACACATTGCTGTACAGTTGGACAGAAATTAAGGAAATGGAGTGCAAAGGGATTTTAACTGCACCATTAATATCCTGGGAAAATCCACCTACCAGGGGTGGCTGATCCCCATGAGAGAATTTGTTGATGTCTAACTTTCAGGAGTTGTGTGAATGCAAATATCACTTATTAATAGGATGAAAAACAACTCTGTGGAGGGATGTGTTGTTATGTGGCAAGGGTGAATGTACTTGGTTTGCATGATAACGATTTCCTCCATTTCTCATTTCAGCCTATGAAGCCTTTGAAAGCAGCTGCCACCACCTCTCAGCCTGTGCTGACTAGTCAGCAGATTGAGACAATATTCTTCAAAGTGCCTGAGCTCTACGAGATCCACAAAGAATTCTATGATGGGCTCTTTCCCCGAGTGCAGCAGTGGAGTCACCAGCAACGTGTAGGGGACCTCTTCCAAAAGTTGGTGAGTCAGCTACCATCACCAAAGCTTCTGTTACCTCTCATTCATCTCACAGGTACTGGTACAATTCCCTTTGGTGACTATGCATAGACCAAAGGGATGAAAGCCCATAGATGGGTTAGATGAGAGGCTTCTAGCTTTGCCTCACTGCAGTTAAGGACCTATAGCAAAAGTGGCTGTTTCATTGCCTTTGATTAAAGACTCCAGCAAGCTATACTACTAATACAAATACAATTTCACAGAAATGTTGAATCTCCGGGTGTCTGCAGTGTCATCAAACCATTTGCTTTAGAGGAAGATGGAAGAATGGCAGGGTTAAAAAGGGTACTTTTTAACACCGACAGCTAAGTGTTTCTCATTATTGTTGAGCTCCCTCACACATATTTCCTTCTCTCTGTGGTGCTTTGCTCTATCTTGTGCTGACTTTCTATGGTCATCACCTTTGACTTTGCTTTTCTATCACCATCCTGGCCTCAATATTCCTCTTGCCGCTATGCTGATGCAGCCAACCTGTTGCTGAGAATCTCCAAGCAACCTGAACAAAATTCTCTGAGTGCAGGACAGGACAAAGATATATACAGCATATTCCTGAGACTGAATTAAAATTGCTGAGTTTCTGAGCCAGATGACAAATCGTTTGCATTCAAGGAGATTCCTTTGGCCCCTTTAGCCTCTCCCTTAGCATGTGCAGAGAGCAAAGGATTAAAGGAGCTGTTTCTTCTTTTTTAGAAAAGAAAAGAATCTCTGCATTCCTGAGGTGCCTCTGATTCTCAGTGTAGGAGTGACATTCCAGTGAGGGGTTTATTGGATGGGGAGTGCGCTTTACCAGGGTCACTTAATTGTTAGCAGCTGTGTAGCTAGTCCCATCCCCTACGGAGCAGGGGGGAGATGGGCTGGAAGATGATGTTTTCCATGCACGCCAGCAGCTCAAGATCAAAACATGGGAATCTGCTTTTCACTGCCAGCATGTTTTAGCCAGGAGGGGTCAAGTTGGTGCCTTGGTGAGTAGTTCATGGTATGCAATTTCAGCAACTGGTTTAAGAAGACAAAGCCACCTGCTGCTGGTTGCTGAAGCAAAGATATAGAAGGCTCCTGAAAGTGGAAGCCTCACAAACTGTATTGAAAGTGTAGTGCAGCAATGAAGATAGCACTAATTGAAGAAGACCTAATTCTTTACCACTGCTGGCTGTTGAGCAAGCTTTGACTCACCGTACAGCTACTTAGGCCTTTGTTTAAGACCATTTCTTGCTGGTGGTGATCACAGATCCAGGAGTTAAGCCCTTCTGGAACTCTATTTATGTTCCCCTGATTTCTGTGCATTTGTAACAGAATTGTTGATTTTGTTGAATTAGTATTGGAAGCAAAGGAGCAAATAGCCCTAGTGCAGGAAGCTTTGAGCTAGCTTAGCAGTTTCAGTTTCTGGTGGTTTGGTACAGTATCAGTGGGAATTGTAAACTCTTTGCTGGATGAGATAAAGCTAATAATTCTTGGCAGGCAGCGAGAAGCAGCTAGATGAGAGAGATGGCAAGAACATCAGGCATTACAAGACATCTATACAGGATGTACATCATATCTTTTGGAGCAGACTGTTTACTTGTGGTCATGTCATGCAATCTGATGATAAACACTGGAATTCTTGTTATTATCCTGAGGTCCCTGGGGACATTAATTTTCTTTAATATCACGCAAAACAGAGCACCGTAGATTGAAGTTATAGATAGTGCATGCAAGGAGTTTTAGAATTTCATGTGGCCTGGCACAAAGTACGATCCATTTGCAACATCAGTGACTGTTATTCCACCTTTTTCCTGTTGAAACTAAGGAAAAGAACAAAAAAAAGATGCTAGGCATGTGGGAGTGAAATATTCTTCTCGGTTTTGGAGAATATTTGTCTGTATTTTTATAACTAAAAAGGAAACACTTTAGAACTGTTTTTAGAAGTGAAGAAATATTTAGCAAATATTATCACTGGTAGTTTTCAGGAATGGAAAAAATTTTAACCAAAAGCTAATTATTTCTACCAAAGCATGTTTAATTTTCAGTGTGTTCTTTTTAATTGAAAAAGAGAAAACTTAAACCAGCATGAAAACTATGTGTGAGCATTATTGCTTTGATTGGAAGCTCAGTTTTTAATGAAAAAGATGTTTTCATGATGGCATGTTTAGAGGAGGAAAACAAAAGCTTAGAAAGACTCTTCAGGAGTAGCAGGAAATGAAAGAGCCACACAGGAATGGAGAAACTTTAAAGCTCTGCCATGTTAGCTGGCATCATCCAAACCTGAATGTCATAAGCCCTGCAAATGATCAGTAACTCTGACAGCAACTTCTTCACAGAATTGTGCAATACAGATTTTATTCTCTTCACACTGCTGGGGCCAGGTCATCCCCGGCATAAGTGAGCACAGTTTCCTTCAGCTTCAGTAATAACCGTGTTATTTTGTATGAGGGTTGAGAGTGGTTCCTAATCTTTCAGTAAAATGTGCCCTAGGAAATAGCTCACTGTTTCTTAGCCTCTGTTAGCTAAAGAAATTTGTGCAGGGAATGTTCTCCTGAGAGTGGCTTTTTCTTTTCCATCATCTCTTGCACAAAGCTCCATAGAGAATGGGGAACACAATGATTATGACAGAGCAGGAGAGGAAAAGAGCACTGTCTGTGGGAAAGTTAACTGCTCTGCCTGTTGCACGTCTTGGGCAGAAGTGTCAGGGAAGTTGCAGAAATAATAAGGTAAGTGCAAGCTCTTCTGATAACAAATTTCTCTTTAATGGAGCCCTTTACAGCACTCCACCTGTTGGCTCATTACTGACCATGCACTTGCAAGCATGTTCAAGCTGCTGAGGTGTTTACAGCACAGCCTGTGCAGCTCTGCAATACAAAACCAGCTCTGCAATTCAGACAAGCTTGGAAGCTACCCAGGGATTTCCTGAGCTGAATCTTATGTTCTCTGGCATGAATATGGCTGCAATTCCGAAGTCAGCAAACGGCATCAGTGCTAAGACTCAGTGATAATAATTGGCTATTACTGCTCGCTGAGGCCTGCTCCATCTTCTTCTGGACCAACTGCATATTTCTTCTGCTGGAAAAACTGCCATTTTCTGTCACCTAGTGCTGCAGTTACTGCCTTCCAAATAGGTTGTGCTCTGGATCTCTCTTCTGTATTTTCAGCACTCTGCTGCCCTTATAACGATGTTCACTGCAGGTATGGGTTAATATCTGGGTTTGATTTAGTGTGTCCATCTTGCAAAAGCCAACAAGTAGCTTACTGGGGTCACATTTGTTCTGTTGGGCTGAATCATTCCTGTCTGATTCATATTTTGTGGCAAATAGCCAGCAGCTCCAGTTACATCAATGAGCTAAAATATTAATAGATACTAATCTGGCAGTTCAGAAGGGAAAAATAGATGGCAGTAATAAGTATGTGTCATTCTTGCAGGCTTCCACATCCACCACAAGTGAACTTGTTCAGCATAGATGTAACTGGGTGCATGGGAGCATCTGTGCTGGTTAAGCAAAGCTGAGAGGTCAGAAATGTTTTTCTGGGCCTGCTCAGCATTCCCTGCGATTCTTTGGCATGAAGGAACATGACCTGATCATTAGATACTGAGGCTGGCCACCCCAAACTGTCTTCTTCCCCAGCGTTTATTTTATTTTGTTTTGCTTCCTGCAGGCCAGCCAGCTGGGAGTGTACCGGGCCTTTGTGGATAACTATGAAGTTGCTATGGAGACAGCAGAGAAATGCTGCCAAGCCAATGCTCAGTTTGCTGAAATCTCTGAGGTAATGTCATGGTATTCAGACACACGAGCCGTCTGGATCTGACTAATACCCTGCGATGTCACTCCTGTCTATCCTCCAAGTATCTATCCAAGAAGCCCTGACTTCTGGAGGAGTTGTGAGCTCCTGTAGACTCACTGCTTCAGCGCATGTTCTTACAGCGATTTATACTTCGGGCTAATAGAGGTTATCACACAGACAGCCTTTATGTGCTGTCCCCACCCAGGGAATCTTGTAGAAACTGGCATTGCTTTGAACTTCTCAGCTCTGTGCCACCTTCATGCATTTCTAGAAGGGAAAGCTGTATTTGAGTTCCTCAAATGTTTCTATTGCTAATGATGATGTGGTGTAAAAAGCCATCCTTAATGGCTTGCATTATGGCTGTCACTGGAATTGTGGGCTTCACTGGCGTGGAGAGGAGGAGAGGGTAGCTGTCTGTTTAAAAAGGCAAACATGTCAACCGTAATCTATAATATTATTCATTGGGCTGCTCTGATTTCCTCTCTTTAGGAGGCATACCTTGTGTCAAAGCATTTTGAATACTTTTTCAGGCTTCCCAGGCCACCAGCTTTGCCTGCAGTGCGTGGTCTCATTGGTTCTTTTTATTGCGGTGATTATATCTTGAAGAACTCAGTTGCGAAGAAAACATGAATGTCTCATCTGTGTCCTTAAAAACAAGCAGATAAACAATTAGAGCTGAATAATACTGGGGGCATTTATTGCTCTGAAAAAAATCCTAAGTACATTCAATATTGCATGTCCCTTTAGATTTTTATGATAAAGAGATAAAATACAACATGTTCCCTCTGTGAAGCGAAGGAAGCAAGGCTTGCCTTTTGGGACCTGCTGTACTACTCACCAGAGCGCTATATGTCTTCTATTCTCTCCTTTCTTGAGGGTTTCCATCAGGTTCTGGTCCTTTGCCTGATCACTTCTGTGCTCTAGTGGTGTTAACTCATCAGTAAAGTAGCTTCCCCTGTGCTTACTTTTCTTTCAGTACTAAAATGCATTTCATGGACTTTCCAATTTATTGATAGTAATATGTATAGATAGTATTATCGTAGTCCCTAGAAGACAGAATAGAGATTAAGGCCCCAGGGTCCTGGGCTCTGTGCAAATGTGATCCCTTGGTTTTGCTGTTTTCTGAAGGAT